AGCGAGAAGAGGAGGATACGCCGGCTGGACTGTGGAAAAGAACCTAGAAGATCTGGATTTCGCCAACGATGACTTGTGTCTGATGTCACACAAACTTGAAGATCTACAGGTGAAAACTAACAAGTTGGCAGAAGAGGCAGGGCAGCGAAGACGGGACTTCAAGTGAAGTGAGTGTAGAGAAGACAGAGGTGATGAAGATACCCAACCAATAACAACAACAACAACAACACTGGCGGCACAGGCACAGACGAGGATGTCAAAGTCAGCCAGGATCGGAAAAGCAAGACAGGCTTTCACAAATTTGAAATCAGTGTGGAGATCTTCTGCACTCAGCATGTGGAACAAGATTCGGATTTTCAACACCAACACCAACGTCAAATCAGTGCTTCTGTATGGTTGAGAGACTTGGCGCGTTACGAAAGGGATTTCCAATAAACTACAGACATTCATCAACAACTGCCTACGCTAGCTTTTTACTGAAGATCAGATGGCCAGAATATTGAGAATAAGCAACAAGGAACTGTGGCCTGGAAACGAACCAACCAAGCACCTATCATTGAACAAATATGCACTGGAAAGAAGTGGAGATGGATTGGATTGGGGATTCACTGAGAAGGCCGACTGAGGATATCACGCATCAGGCCCTCGAGTGGAACCCCGATGGGAAACGTTGAGTTGGGCGTTGGTGCCGAGGGTGACACAGAGGAGATCGTGCGAGGGGGGAATGAGAGCTTGTGGGCTGTCGTGGAACCAGGTTCAAAAGATTTCAGCCAACAGAGCGCATTGTAGACGCGCTGCTGAAGCCCTATGTTCCATTAGGAACCCAAGGGACAAATAAATAATAATAATAAATAAGTATCAGACTGTTAATTCTAGCCTCAAGCGTAAAGAAAACTTGTGTGAGTTGCTTTGGTGTCATGACTACTGTAGTACTGATGGTATTGCTGTAGGTAGCAAATTGAGTGTTACATATCTTGGAATGAGTTTTTCCTGTGATCTTTATTGGTCATCTCATGTATTGTTTGCTTCGAAGAAAATCTTTTTTCTAACGTACTACATAAAGAAGCTGAAACTCTCTGGTATAATTCAACCTCTGCTTTTATAATCTATTGATTCTTGAATTTTACCTATTGTTTTTTATTGTTCCCCGTTATTCTTTTTCGATCCACCAAAAAAGGCTAAGTTATTTTGTGTAGGGCACTGAAAGTTTTCATTAGGGTAAGTGCTATGCTTTTGACGCAACTGATGAACACTGTAGCTGATAGACATTTCAATTTCAGCAGGGAACTAGCTACAGTCATTTTTTCAGATGCTGAGTGCCGACTTTATTCTTACCTCTATCCTTGTATCTCCTCAGGGAGAGCAAGAAGAAATTAAATAGAACTGTACGCTCGCACGGCTAAATATAAGAATTCAACTGTGCGATACCTAGCGCGCAACTTATGTGAGGAAAAAAGTGTTGGAACAGAACTAACTTAGCAACTTTATAACAATAAATAGTCTGTCTTTCCAATATTTTAACCACTAGTGTACAATTCTCCTCGTTACAAATATTATTTACATAAATTGAAACTTATTATTAATACTGTTCGAAATGTTGTAAAGGAGTATATCTTTTTGTTGCAATATTACATGTTGAGAATTCCAAATTGTATCAAAATTATTATTGTTAATTTACTTGGATTATTTTAACGATAGGATACTCTACTGAGTTGTATAACTTATTTGTAAGCAAGATGTATCGTTCATTGGATCATTATAATTTAAAGATGAGTGACCTAAACATGAAAGCTACTCAATTCAGTCCTTAAAAGCCACTGACATATGATTGATTTGCTGCTACTTCTCTCGTTTAACTTTATATTAGATTATTTTCGTGAATTTTGCTAAGAGAATTTAAGAATACTTGGAGACAGGAGGTGAGGAAAAATGTTAGTATCATCGGAAACAGATGGAAGAAGAAGAATCTCGGCTAATCTCTCCTTAATTTATTTGTATTTCACGTAGTAAAACATAAGAAAAGAACAACTAAAAGATAACCGAAAGGCAGAACATAGCAACTAGATAGTTGGGAGGCTGACTACCTTCTCCTCTAGGAAACAAAAGTCACCATCTGCAACTTCACATATACCTGAGTAACATTCGCATACTATTGATGGATGGTGGCTCGTAGTGGAATCCAGGATGTGCGTTTCGTCTTATTCGGGACTCGTCAGCTGGATGTACCTGCTTGCCAGCGAGCGATGTTGTTCCCACTAAGACTCAGTAACATCGTTTGGTTTTTCAGCTGTTTTTGCTTTGATCGGATAGTCCAGTTTAAACAGGTGACATGCTAGTACTCTGTTGATACTCTACAGTCCCCTGAGAAGTGGATTTGTAAGACTCCATTCAGCCAAACGAATAAATTTCCGTCAATTTGTCTCCCGTCTCCGTTGGCTTCCGCAAATGCATTGTCAGAAGACCTACTTGGGAGTGCCATCATCTCGAGTGAGCTGATTGCTGACGAAATCTCAACTTGGATACAGAAGGCACGTCTGGCACTTACAATCTCGCATCATCTGTCGCGCCTGTGGAATAACCAACTACATATCAAAGGACGAATATACTGAGCTGTAATCCATTCTGTTCTGTTATATGGTTGTGAGCCATTGACGTTAAAAGTAGAAGACATGAATGTGTTACGGGGTTTTGATCACACTTGTCTTCGTAGCACTGCTCTCAGTTGGCGGAGTCATCGTGAGAGCAATGTTGAGATCAGACGAAGAGTACTGTACTGGGGACGACAGGCAAGTCGTCTAGTCACGTTGTGAATCTTCATCGACTGAGATGGGTAGGACATGTTTTGTGCATGCCAAACCATTGCCTTCCTCGACGTGCAATGCAAGGCGAAATGGGATAAAATTGGAAGAGGGCTCAGGGTTGTCAGATCAAGATCCGGCACCAGTCGATGAAGTCTGTTACTGTTTGTCTGAGTTGTGTGGGGAGATGTAGACTGTCTGTCTGAGGTCGATGAGATGAAAGGAATCAGTGGTTGAGGAGTCTTGGTGATACGGTTGGGAATTCGTTCCATTGGCGTGGATGTATTCACTCTTTGACGTCTATTTAAACTTGAATGTTTTGACTTATCTTCCTTGTTGATATCCCTCTTCTCCCATACCTCTTTGTCAACTTTATAATCACGAAGTAACAAAAGACAACTCGACGTAAGATCATTCGTTAGGAATAATTAGAATGGTAGTGGTTACATATGGTACTCCTTGAACTAACGCAGCCATTTGCAAATGTCTTCGTTTCCCCTCCGTTCCTGTCTTGATTTGCTCTTGACCGGCTCTTCATACACTCTTAACAGCAGCATCCCCTGTAATACGCTTGTGTTGTCCCTTGCGTTGCTCTTGGCAGAAGCCTTACCCATTGCCAGTAATTTCCTACGATTACTGCCACCCTCTCGATATATACTACTTATATCCGTTGTTATCAGCAACGCCCACTACAATCAGTCTTCTTCTATCAACGTGTTCTTTGTATGCTACTGTGTTGTGTGGCAACTTGAACCGATTCACTTGTGAGTAAAGTTATACGTTTAATTTGTCTGTCTTTCTATATAGTGTTTGCATTTATCTGCAAACTGAGTACGGAGGTTGACTGTGTCTTCGTAAGTGTTGTGTTGACTAGTGATTTCATTGATCAATAAAATTTACCAATTTAAATGAACGCAATATATCTTTCAGGCCTAATTGCTCTCATTAATTTATCTACGTTTAATAAGCTAAGCTCCAGAAAGCAGCGTTTTGTTAGATTTTAAACTTATTGAATAATGAACTAATATCCTCTAATTAGTAATACAGAATTGTACAGGAAGGACAATAATTTTAATTTCAACACGTATATTTGAAACAGTCGCAAAAATGTCACCTAGGAGTTGATAAACGGTTGAACCAGGCAATAATAAATGCAAGAAGTATGAAAAAAGCAGGATTTAATGAATTCATAAATTTCAGTAGTACTCGTTAGCTGGATACTCTACATACTTGATTATATATACCGTTAAGCAATGGAAAAGAGCATACATACATACACAACGTAGACTGAGACAGATTTAGGTGTAACATAGAAGTGAATAGTTTTTACAGGTCAAATGGATATTCAAGATTGTTGACATAGGGATGAGAACTGAATCGATTGAGCATGATCGACGCTCAATCGATCCCTATGTCAACAATCTTGAATATCCATTTGACCTATAAAAACTATTCACTTCTACGTTGTTACACCTAAATTTGTCTCAGTCTACGTTGTATATGTATGTATGTATGCTCTTTACCATTGCTTAACGGTATATGTAGTGAAGTATGTAGAGTATCCAGCTGACGAGTACCGCTAAAATTTATGAATTCATTAAATCCTGCTTTTTTCACACTTGTTGCTTGTTTTAAATTTGTATCGGCAAACAAATGTTTTCAATAATAAATGCCTTAATATGTAGTAACTTATTCACAGTAGCATAGAGTCATTAGCACTTGTAGGGTAACCAATAGGATTACAGTTACTCATGATAGCATAGGACAGGAATAACCAATGAAAAAACCCTTACGCAGGCTAACTCTATTTATGACTTCATTGCACATTATTCATTGATTCGTATATGAATCAAATATCTGTCTGAACAGTAATAAATAATCACAGTTATTTAACATATATACAATGAATAATAGTTACTAAGAGTTAAGTCGTAATCGTCAAACATCGATTAATAGATGCCGATTTCAAGGGTAATTTAATGTTGATTGTCACAAGGAATTCATTAGTAATCAAGGTGCCTTAAAAGTTATACACAAAGATCTTAACCGTCTATGTGACCGAACTCCGTGTCCAAATGCCATTAGACAAATGTGCCTGAATAATTAATATGAGTTATATGCATTAGCCTATTTTCTATTTAAATCTCTCTCTAATGTTTTTCTCTACAATTTTTTTCATTTACACTGTTAACGTGTAAGTAGCAACAAACTTGCTGAGAACCAGTACAAAAAATATTCGACAGAGAAGAATACCAGTGGAAATCTAAACGATCAAGAAGATACTTTGAATGATCAACATGCCACATTAAGTAGCTCAGTTTCTAACACCACTGGTTGTACAACCACCATCGCCAACAGTTATCCTGTTAACGAAATAAATTCATCCCTAACTCAGTATGATGAAATATATGGTAATTTTCAGGGAAAAGATATTGAAACATTGAAAAATCGATTGAAAACTGAACACGAAATTGACGATAACAAGGTTGCTGATGTTGATGATGAACAAAAGTGTATTACGCATCAAAACCGAGTAAAATTTGCATCTGAAGCCGAATTCTTCTCACCTTCGTATTACAGCGAACAGACTACTTCTGTAAGTAGTATAACAGATATAACGCATGTATCTAGTGCTACTACTAGTACTACGAATACTAATGCTAATAACATTAATACTATAACCTCAGAACTTTTGTGTTTGCCTGGAGTAGCTACTGTTTCTCCACGAAAGTCACCTTCTTATATTTCTAATTTAAATAAACAAGATGTTAGTGAAGTGAAACTGAAGGAATGTACTCACGTCACTAAAGATACAGATGACAGGAAAAATCATGATGAAAAAGAGGTAGAAGACCAAGATAACACATACAAAGAAGACTTCGTATCAGACTGTGAAGAATAAACGGGACGGGAAATGCTTAATAAATGAACGATAACTTATTTATCGAATCGAATCCACACAAATACAAAAATAAGTAGATAGACATATCTAAGCAGCCAATTATGTTGGGATTTCGTAAGTGTAACCACACAGGGACGTAAAACATACACCATCATCCATTAAGTTAGATCTTTAACAATGATTAAATAAAGATTTCTTAAAATATTGTATACACTTTTCTTGTTTTAATTTACGCTACATTCATGTTTCTTTTTGTGCTGATTTATTACATTTGGTGAGATCATAAACGTTCTATCATTCAGTGGTTTGAATGAATTGTAATTTGATGGAAAAAAGAAACGTATAAAATATGTCATTCATTTCTTTGCATGGTTTGCTCGTGATTTGCACCTTCGTTTTTTTCCGCCTCTTCTGTTTCATCTCTCAATTATTTTCGATAACACATTTATTGAAGTGATCGAAAGATTTAACAAGTAAAACAGTTCGATTCTCATGCTGTGGTTTTCTACTTCTTGTTAATATTTTGTACGTTTATGGAGTATTTGAAGGGTTTGCTAGCAGTGCGTTCCCTCTGTTGGATGAGTTAACCGTGAAGCTCTTGTCGTTTTTTCAGACGACATCACCGGTGGAAAACTCAGAGAGAAGTGAACTGGAATGTGTTTTCAATAGGACAAGTTTCTTAGTCACTTGTAGAGAAATTTAAATACCTTACTTTTTTCTAGATTTTGAGATGATGATGTTATCTGGAACGACAACGTCAGGAGCAAATCACCCTCCAAATTGGAGATGTCATAAGTCTGAAAATTTCAGACGGGACTTTCGTCTCCAAGTTGAGATTTCATCAGGAAACCAGCTCGGTAGGGCTAATGTGACTTACCGAGTGAAGTGGTCATTGCATTCCACTACTTCAAATACTTTTCTTAAATTAAAGGTCATGGGAAGCCAGTCATGATATATCGTTCCTCACTGAACAGACGCGAAAGTTATCCCAAAAATACTCAGATTTTATCTCTATACTTGTCAGCGTCTTCGCATAACTTACCCTAAGTCATTCATAAGACCTCGGGGAGCATACCAATCTCTCGAAGCTTTGGAGTAAATAGGGTTATATCTGTTGGTGAATCTGTAGTACCCTCAATTTGTTCTCTCAAACAAATCGTTCAGTGTTTAGACATTACATTTTTGAGATGTTTGCCTGCATCAAGAATTCCTGAGGACTTTGCACATACTTTCTTCAAGCCTTGTATACTTCGTGCTTCTTTTCGTTTTCGGTTTGCTAATCAAGGTACGCTTGAATTATATCGTTCGCCACATTCGTGTTTATATCTTTTCAACACTTGTCGTTGTTAATCGAATTACTAGCAACGGGAACTGGACCTATTGTATACATGAATTGAACGTATTCTCTCCCTTCGCGGATCCATTAGAACCGATAGTTGCGCTAACGGACTAAACATCCGTAACAAATTTAGGTAAGAATGGTGATTGTAAACATTCTTCTTGGACCCCACTGGTTGGCATTACGACAACTCTTCACAAAGCATAACGTAGCTAGGTAACTTCAAGGAGAGAGCCCTCATTAACATAATATGCTTGCTCGCTAATTCTTTTCGTCAGACATTGGCACAACACTTCCCGGTCGATAGAGTTAAATGCCGCCTTTCGATCAGGAATTATGAAAAGTATCGAGTTCCGGTAGACATTCCTATATACCGAAACTAGTCAAAATCTAATCGCTTCACTCTCTTCCATATCTGAAGCCTGTCTGGTTTCCTCGAGTTTGTTAAACTCAAGCCACAGTGAGGAGTCGAATTGGTATGGACCTTAGGATCTCCAAAGTGATGTTAATCAAACTGATTTTTCTTGTAGTTGCCCGACGAATTTTTTCTTGTCTTTTTTTAAACTGGGATAGTCTGAGATCCACACTTGTCCAGCAGGAATGTCTCTTATTCCTAAATACTTGTTAGCACCCACCTTATTCTACTTAGTAATTTTCTTAAAACCTAATAGCAGTAGTTAATGTTGTCATACGTTTCTGTCTGTTTTAAAGTTTGAAAAAGAGTTTTCATCTCTGATGGGATTCGGAGAACTGAAATCTACATCCCATTCAGTTCGACCTGGATTTTGAACAAGTGAATTGTGGCTTTGACCATTCAAAGCATTCTTTTAAGTTTCCGACCCCATGTTCCTCCCACCTGCCACTAGAAGTTATCAGAGACCCGTTCTTCTCGATCATCTCATTTTTCATGTCAGTCTGTTTAATGTACTTAAACAACTACCAAGTATTTATGTAGGACCATTGCCTTCTGCATTACTTTAGCCACCAACCGCTTCCCGTGATCACACTTAAGACCATTGATTAGTTTACATTTGAGCTGTAATCATATGGAAAGATTGGTCAACGTAGTGCTGTCAACAATCTTCACAGTTAATTTTGTAGCTTTTATTTGTCTTTCTTTGGCAATAAATCCCCTGGCTTGCAAAACATGCTCCGTAATGATTCCGTTGGCTTGTGAGTCACTCCAATCTCTTACGTTCGAAGTTGTTGGTTAACAGTCGCTGAGACATTCTTGATGTAGTATAAAGTAACGCACTTATTGATTTACGATTATGATTGAACAGTCTTATGCATTATCGATACATATTTTTTGATAAATTTAAAGCGATCACCATTAGCTATGAACACTTTCTCCAGTTTTTCAGAGTTGCAGTGTGTCTTGATTCTTGAGAAAAGTGGTCTACATAATGACTGACAGAGAACTCAAGTATCTCAAAATGCCTAATAAAAAGCTTGCTTTTGCTTCAAGTCAAAAATGTCTTGCGGTTTTAACCACAATGGCATACTGAAGAGATTTTTAAGTAAGCTAACAGTAATTAAGAGTCTATAAGTGACCATAGATTAATGAAAGCTCAACTGTATAGTGATTTTGAATACTGCTTATCATGCATCTTGGGAGTTGTACACTTGTTTATGCTACTCATATAGTGGTACTCTTTGAGTAACGAATACAAGTTCAGATTTAAATTTAGTCGTTTGTTGCTTAAATTCGAGGTTGTTTTAGTGAAAACAACCAGCAAAATACAAATACCATCTCTAGATACGGTCTCATATTAAACCAATCAGTATCGTTCGAGTCTTTTAAATGATAAATAGAGTTAACTGTTATTTATTTTCATCCCACGCCAAAATCTAGTCAAAATCGTCAGCACCGATACGTTATGAAGGCTGTAGCCCTTCGGTTTAGTCAGTTGACTTGCAGTTAATAGGTCACGCGTTCGAACACCGCTCCGCTTATAGAGGTTTGGGTAGCCAGGTGGTATCATAGGCCCTCCCACAGTAGGTGTGATTCATTGTCTACTGCAAGAATTCGCACAAAGTTGCTGATGGCATTTCGATCCTGTAACTCTCTGGACTAGACACTTGACTAAATTCCAGTCTCAGTGAACCTGTTTCTACGTAGTCCAATAAACAGGATCATAATTTCCACGTTGTAACTCATTGCTTAATACGTACACTTGTACTGAATCATTGAGCTACATTAAATGGTCATTTATATGCTAATTTTATTTTACTATGGAAATCACAAAGATGAATATGACGATAAACGAGTGTAAACTAACGATGGAAATAATTTCCTGAGAATGACGTTTCACTTCTAGCATATATCGAAATGCTGTGTAATTATCAGCATTTTATGTAGGATGATAATTGTTCAATAAAAACTCGTTTGCTTTTTAGGATTTTGTGAAATCCTCATTATCTATGTAGCTTAGTTGTTTTGTGTGTATACTACTGAAATAAAATTCAGTACCTGATTCAACTTTTGCAGTATAATTGGCATTGATTTCGGTCATACCATTTTGAGATGATTATGAGCACTAATGGCTAGTCTAGTATTGAATTACATTCTGTCACGAGATCCAAATTCTGTACTTACCTTGATGTCTTGCAGTATCTGTAAATAGTTCAGATATCGGTGGTTTCACTGACAATTGCAGCAGCAATAGTGATGCTTCTAACATTTGGGTAAAGTATACAATAATCATTTTGCTGTTTGACACTGGTTAAGATTAAACGGTATGAAAAGAACATCATAAGAGAAGATGAGATCATGGAGTATGTGAAGAAAGCTCAGACAGAATCCATGCAGTCTGTATAATTTGTACAAAATAACTTTGAATTCCACATAGAAGTTTTTGAAGAGTATTTAAAGTTGCTTTTAAGCTTTCATTGTTATTTGTATACTGTTTCATAATAGAAAGATGAACTAGTTTCTGCACTTAGTACTAACTAGACTTAGTGATCAAGCATTTTGCAGCGAGCAAAAAGAATTGCGATTGTAATTCATACCTTTAAAGTAATCCCAGACAATTCTGTCTGTTTGGAACAGTATCAAATATCTATACTTACAGTAGCATTGTCGTAGAGCATAATAGGCCTGATAGCATATAGAAAAGTAACCAGTAGAATTGTAGTATCGACAGTAGTAGCATGATTAGGAATAGTCAACAAGAATATTATGACGCATGCAGGTATTTTCAATGAACTGCACTCAACCTTCAGAAGTAATGACGGCTGGGTAAAGCCTTCGGCGAATTAAGGGAAGTTGAAACCCAGTCGGTTGAACACTGGGTTTATTCTCCATCCATCCATTACATCCTCATTCATCACGCAATAGTAATAGTGATTCAGAAGTGATTTTGACTTTCAAAGCGATTCCCTAATTCATTACTATGTTAAGCTCCTATCTGAATAGTCACAAATCATTACAGTCTACGCCATATCTACAATCGAATAATTACAATCAAACCGAATTCCGAAAGGACCTTGTTTTATTCCTTTTACAGATGAGATAATATCTTGGAGTAGGATGATTTTCCTTATACTACACTCACTTTATTTACTGACATAAGGGAAATTGAGTCTGTGTATACAGATAGAGATTCAAATGGTGGAGAATAAACTTAGTTCTGTATTTCATAGAACTGTTCGCCAAGCTAATATTCCTTGAGACAAAGCTATCAGTGACCTTCTAGCCAATATCATCAATGAAACTTGATGGTTGGAAGTAGTGATTGTTTCTAATGTACTATTCAAATATTGGTTATCTGTGTTATGAATAGTTGAGTTTTTTGTCTCGATCAACCATTTTAATTTTTCTGCTTGACTTACTTTGTAGGTCTCATCGAGTGGTTGAATTTTGATTGACTGCAGTCTTCTCACTGTCAGGACTACAACAGGACTGCGGTAGATTGGTTATTTTCATCTATGTGAGCATAATAAGATCTCCAAAACAAATTGAGGTCATATTTATTTTGTAACTTCTCTTCAACTGCAAAATGTCTGTAATAAGTGCAGAATAAGCATGGGATAAAACGAGAAAGTTAAAACAAAGTAACTATGTACTTTGGAAAATAAAGATACAGCAGGAAAACTCAGTTAACGAATTTAAGGACTGTGAATAAAGGTGGTAAAGTTTGTTAATTTATAAA